GTGAATGTGATCCTGTTTGGAAATACGGGGTTTCTGTGTTATGTTAACGAGGCCATACTGGTGTACAATCAAAAAAACCAAACTTGTTGCCATCGAGTTGATTTCAACTCATAGCGACCCTGAAGGACAGAACAGAACTGCCTCATAGGCTTTCCAAGGAGTAGCTGGTGGATTTGAACTGCCAACCTTTTGGTTAGCAGCCTAACGCTTAACCCCTGCACCACTGTGGCGCCTACTAATATAGAGTGGGTCCTAAACCTAATCACTTCTGAGTAATAAAAAGACTAGAATGTAATACTTTTTTGCAGCTTGGAAATATTCCATTTTATTGAATCATAATTTATTTAGCCAATCTCCTACTGTTGGACATTGAGTTTGTCTCTAAACGTTTGCTATTATCAATTAAACTACAACAAATAACTTGTACATAAGTCATTTTGCACATATGCACATATAGCAGATAAATTTCTAGCCGTGGAATTGCTAGGTCAAAGGATACATGCATTTGTAATTTTGATAGAAATTGCCAAAATTCCTCCAGAGGTTGCACCGATTCATATTCCCACTAGTAACGTATGAGGGATCCCGTTTTCTACTATCACTGACCTCTTTTGCAATGGTAAGTGAATCATATCTCAGAGCAATTTTAATTTTTCCTCATATTGTAAGGTTGAGCATCTTTTTACATGTGTAAGTCAGTTGTATTTTTCTTCTGTGAACTTCCTGTTAATATCTTTTGCCCATTTTTCTATTCCTTTTTTTGGGAGAAATTCATTAAGTACTGGGGAAATTAACCCATTGTGATATGAGTCACAAATAGTTTTCTCAGCTTGCCATTTGTCTTTTACTTTGCTCAAGATGATTTTTGCCATGTAGAGTTTAAAACAAAATTTACATAGTTAAAATTAGTGAATTTTATTTTGTGGCCTCTGGAATGTATGTTCATCTAAGAAAGATCTTCCTTACTCTGAGCTTATATAGTTTCCCTTGATTTCTTCATTTTCATGGTTTCACTTTCTTTTATGCTTACATTTTTGATCATCTGGGATTTAATTTTGGTCAAAGATGTGAGATATGAATCCAATTAATTTCTTCCCTGTTGGTTACCCACTTATTCCAACACCATTTATTGAATAAGCCATTTTTATGTCCCTCTACTGAGTTGAAATGCCAGCTTGATTATATGCAACGTTTTTATATGTATTTGTGTCCATTGCTGGATTTTCTATTTTGTTCTATTGAGCTCCTGTTCATTTATGCACTGGTATCAGTTATTTAACTTTGTATTTTAATACCTGCTCAGATCACTTCTGTTTGTTCCTATTCTTTTCTCAGCAAATCTCTGGCTATTCCTGCCTATTTTTCCATGTGAACTTTAGATTATCTGGTTCCAAAAATTCCAATTGTTGTTTTTTCAAGAATATAGTACACCTTTCCTTTCCAAGTCTTTCTTTTCTCCTTTGGGAGTGTTTTCTTCAAGGAGATCTTGTACATTTACTAAGGTTTTTTGCCCTACATATTTTATTATTGTTGTTGTTATTGTAAATCGGATGTCATCTATCTCGTCACTGATTATATGTTGTTTTTAGCTGCTGTTTAGGCAGCCCCTGATTCATGGTGACCCCATGCACAATGAAATGAAACGCTGTCCGGTCCTGCACCATCCTCATAATTGCAAATCGGACCATTGTTATCCATAGGGTTTTCACTGGCTGATTTCTGGAAATAGATCACCAGGCCTTTCTTCCTAATCCATTTTAGTCTGGAAACTCCACTGAAACTGTTCAACATCACAGCAACACACAAGCCTCCAATGACTGATGGGTGGTGGCTGCACATGAGGTGCAATGGCCAGTAATCGAACCCAGGTCTCCCACATGGAAGGCAAGCATTCTATCACTGGACCCTCACTTTAGACCCACAGAATTTAAAGTCTATGTACTTTCTCCCTTAGTTCAGTGGACAGGCTTTGTCATCTTATACGATGAACCCCTAGGGAAGAGGTACTAGTATAGGATGAGCAGCAGCAGCCAGAGCAGCTCAGCCTTGCTTGCTTCTTCCATTGTTTCCATAAGAGCCACCCCCTCTGTCAGTGAATGCATGGGTCTGAAAACTGAGGTTTCTTTGAGAGTGGTCTAGGAACCACCCGCATCACTTGTAATACATGCAGATTCCCGACTGCCACCCCATCTACCAACTCAGACTCTCTGCAGGAGTGGCAAGCATTCTGCCCTTTAGCAAGCTCCCTGGGTGATCCTTGTGCAGAGACCTTGAAAGCCCCTGCTAAGCAGAGCTGCTTTGCAGGATTCTAACTGCAACTGTCAGATCTGGAACCACAGGATCCTCATCAACAGCCTGAACAATGCTTGAATGGGTTTTCTTCACTCTGAACTTCAGAGGGACAGCACAAATCCTGACTGAAGATGACTGAACTTATCCTACGGAAAGAGTACAGTTTGACAAAATATATAAGCATGATCATACACATAGGATAACTGAAGTCTTACAGTGATTCTAAACGAGAAACTAAACCAATTGCCGTTGATTCTGACTCATGGCGACCCCATGTGTGCAGAGCAGAACTGCTCCATAGGGTTTTCGGAAGCAGACTGCCAGGCCTTTCTAATGAGATGCCTTTGGGTGGGTTTGAACCGCCAACCTTTTAGTTAGTAGTCGAGCGCTTTAAACTGTTTGTACCACCCAGGGCCTCCAGTAAGGTCCAATCGCAGCTCTGTGAAGAACAGATGAACTCCTTAGCTGGCCCATGTCCTGGTCCTAATCATATCCTCTTCTTTCACAGCATTGATTTTGCATGTTCACTGGTGTTTTGTGTCCAACTGAATGGCAAATAGTACCTGGTGGAAGGCATTTTCTTATGTCAGAGCATTTAATACCAACAGCATAGAATTTTGTCTGCTCCCCAAGTAGCTGTTCAACACTTCTAAGTACAGCCTTCATCAACTATTCCCATGATTCTAGCTACTTCTATTCCTAGTTTTCTACTGGGCATAATGTACAAATACTGGAACATTAAGCTTGCTTTCTTTTAAAACACACTTCGTCATACCTTGAGAGCTATGAACCACTTTTCTCTGCTCACTTCCTCTGAGCTGGTTTCGGAGGAAGTCATAACTGGGCGGGGCAGTCTCAGAAACTGTCTCCTCCTGCATTACCAGACAACAGTAGCCTTCCAGACGCTTTCCTGCTTAACTTTCTCAGCCCTGGAGTTGAGACCATAGACAGTGCTCAGTTTCAGTTCCTGTGGCTGCCTTTCTCTGAACCTCATCTCCACTAGCTTTGTAGAATGTGCGGGTCCTGCCCCTTCCTCTGAAGGAATTCACACGCCATGCCTTGCACCCGGCAAACCTCCAGCGGTAGGAGTCATTTCATGCCCGTACACGGGCTACACTCCCACCAATGCCCGCTGAAGCTCTGTGTTCCCAAATCTCTGCTCTGTTAGGACCCTGGAGTCTGTTCTCATTGTTTGCTATGGTCACCCCTGGCAAACCCGATCTCTCCCAACACACTGCCCTCGGTGTAGTAACCCTTTGGTTCCTGGGCTGGACACATGGAGCTACTCCTGGAAGAAATTGAATTAGAATAGCCATCTCCAGAGTGGGGTGCAGAAGTTGATCCATTGTAGAATAAGAAGAAAACATTACAACTTATTTAAAATGCAGTGCCATAGTAAATGCTAATTTTGTTTTTCCTCATAATTTAAAAATCTCCATTCTTCTGTGTTATAAAATACACAATATATGTTGGTATACAAGCATGTAAATGCAACGCATAAGCTTATGCATACGAGAGGGCGTGTGCTTTTTACTGACGGGCGCAATATAAAATTGTTTAGGGATCACAGAGATGGTGCAGAGCTGGTTAGTTGCTACAACTCTAATAAGTAGTTACCATCACTATTCCCTGGTGGCACAGTGGTTAAGCATTCGGCTGCTAACCAAAAGGTTGGCAGTGCAAATCCACCAGCTGCTCCTTGGAAACCCTATGGGGCAGTTCTACTGTGTCCTACAGGGTCGCTATGAGTTAGAATCGACTTGATGGGAATGGTTTTTTTTTTAAATCATTATTCCCATTTTATAGATGCGAAAACTGAGGTACAAAGTACTTGCCCAAGGTGGTATGTGGGAAAGCTGAGGTTCAAACCTAGGCAGGTTGACTTCAGGGCCTATACCCTCAACCATTACAGTATTCACCTTTACAAAACAAAAGATTTAGATGTACATCTCATTATAAGACTTCTTGATTGTTCAGTGATGAACATAAAGACCTGAGTGTTGCAGAATCTATGTCTTTTAAAATTTCTATCTAACAATAAGAAATAAATTATATATGGTATCAGTAGAAACAAGTTGCTGTTTTAGATACTGGAGAGAAAAATATGAAAAATTAAGTTTGTAAATCTAAGTAGAGATGTAAGAATTACCTTGATGGCATAATATAATAGCTATTGACGATACAAAGAAGTTATTAATTTTGTTGTAAACTTTGGTAAATGAATGTGCACACCTACCCTGATGTTAAGGATTAATTAGAGTATGGTTATCTCTTCACAACTTGAAATACAGGTAAACCATAGTATAAACAATTATGATTCACAGAATTTACAATTGTATACTTCAATATTTTAAACTTTAGTGACCAAATCTGTAAATGCTTCTACTTTAAGGATAGCCCCCTATACACAAAAATGATCTAATTTCCATGAGGCATTTTTTCCCCCCATGGTGGGTTTTGATTGTTATTTTTAGCCCTTATTTAGAGAACCAAGTGGTTCTGTGATCCCAAAATCCTGTATTGGGGCTGACATATGCTTGTTTTTGCACTACCCCAAAACTCTTTAAGTGTAGGACTGAGGAGAACTCTAACTGATAATATTAGTCAAATTCCAAGAAGCCCTTGTATAGAAGGGATGCATATGAGTACTCATCAGGACAGTTCCTATCATCTGGCCTGGAAAGTGACATATGTAGCGCTCTGGTGGCTGAAAGGGGGACAAGAGATGGGCAGGTCTCTAAGGTGGACCATGCTCACTGGCTGAGAGTGAAAGTTCCCACAGTGGGAAGTGGCCCTGAGCCGGGATTCTACACAGGGTGGTGGCATAAGACAAAGAGGCTGGGGGAAGAGTGCGGTGAGAGGCTGCCGCACTACAGAATTGCCTACAGTGATGCTGGCAAAGCGGTAAAGAGATCTCAGAAGGGAGAAAGGAGAAGTGATGAGTCAAATGAGTGCGTTTCCCTGAAAGTAGTTTCAGGCGTTAGTTTCCGTGCCTACACTGACTGATCAAAACTAAACAGAAAGAGCTTGCAAAGCACATTGTGGAGCATCACTGAGGTTACAGTTTCAGAAGTTTTTTTTAAAACTATGTACTTCTTACACAGTGCAACAGTGCAAATGTGATTTTAATGGGCAAGAATTAAATACACTGTGATATCTTCAAGTGCTCAGCTCTGCTCAATGGCCAGTGTTATTATGATGGAAATTACTATTTTCAGAAAATAACATATTCCTATTTTAAAATGCAGCACCAAAATAAATGCTTTAAGGGATATATGTGTGAAAGGTTGGAAAAAATATTCTTTTAACAAAAGTTTAAATTTTTAGAGAAATACACTGAGAAAGACCCATGTATAATTTACTTCAACAACGAAGATGACTTCTTCATTCTTTCCACACTTTACTTCATATTACAAATTTTGTGCTACAGTCAGATGATATATTAATTTTATTTTCATTACATAAATTGGGGAAGAACATATAATCAGATCCCAATATATTACAAGGCATTTAGAGAGGTGCATTTTGTTGCCAAACAGAAAATTATCTGAAATTCACTTTCAAAATTGAAATAGACCCAGTTAAAAGCACTATCTTGGCTCCTTTCTTTTTTAGAATACATCCTGGTTTTCACTGAAGTATCAATAAATGAATTAAACAAATTCTGTCTTACAAGGTTAGCATTCCAGATGCTCCAAAAAATCATGTTCAACACTTTCTTCTAGTTGTTGCAAGATCCTTGGGCTATCTGTGACAAGATCTTCTATCAACGGAGGTCCTGAGGGGTCAGCAGGAAGTTTACTTTGGGTTTTAAAAGCACAATTTAGAGTCCTGAAGAACGGCATCAGTTGCCTAATGCTGGAAACAGAATGCTGGCGCAGGAGAGGAAACTCACTCTTCACAGTTATCTCATCAGAGTTGCTGATTTCCTGCAAATAAAAAGCCCATAGAAAGGATATGCTTTCAAACTCAGATAAAGAATTTTTGAAAATTATTCCATATTATTAAAATCAAGTGCCATATCTATATGGGATCAAAGTGACAACAGCAGCTTGAAAGGTTAGATAGGAGGCTTAGGGGGCTGTGAATTTATGCTAACCGGGAAGGAACAATTTGGAAAAGGAGGGCCAGAACAGTTGCACCACTTGAAGAATGTAATCAGCGTCACTGAATTGTACATGTAGAAATTGATGCATTGGTGTATGTTCTGCTGTGTATATTTTCAACAACAAAAAAATAAAATTATTATGAAATGCCTTTTTCACTGCTTAGGCCTTGTTGCCCCCATCACTTCCCACCATGGATGTAATTTTTTAAAAGGAAAACACTTACCCCATATTTTAATCTTAGAAGTTCTAGAATTCTAACAGTGTGGGGTTTGCATTCTTGGTGATTCTCCTCCAGATCTGACAGGAGGGCAGGACCCTCTGTGTCCACTTCTGGAACAAACGCCCACCTATAACTGGAGGGAAGAAACCGGAAGTCAGGAGAGATGGCTCAGAGCTCACTTCTCTTTACATTTCTTAACAGCTTCATTGAGACACAATTCACATACAATTCATGCATTTAAAATGTACTATTCTATGGCCTTCAGTATATTCAGGGTTGTGCATCCATCACTGAGATCAATTTTAGAATATTTTCATTATCCCCAAAAAATCCCCGTTCCTCTTATCCTCACCTTCTAGTTCCCACATCCCCCCTAGCCCTAGGCAATCATTAATCAATTTCTGTCTCTGCAGATGTGTCTATTCTAGACACTTTATATAAATGGAATCATATAACATGTGGTCCTTTGTGACTGTCTCCTTTGACTTAGCATAATGCTTTCAAGGTTTATCCATGTGATATCATGTGTCAGTACTTCATTCCTTTTTATGGCTAAATATTATTCCATTGTATGAATATACCATATTTTATTTATCCATTCGTCAGGTGATGGACGTTTGCGTTGTTTCTACTTTTTGGCTCATATGAATAATGCTGCTATGTACATCGATGTATAACAGAACTCACTTTTAACCACAAATATGAGAGAGAGAGAGAGAGAAAGTAGCATCTGGGGCCAGGCATGAAATTGACCGTATACGCAGCTGTGTTAAGCCTACGGGAAATGTAAGCCTCTGGGGCAAAGTGAATTGGAGAACAGCATGCTTCATTTAAAGGCATTTATATTGAATTAAAAACCAACAGACAAAAAAAATCTACAAAAACACAGCAAGGATCAGCAGTGGGTGACCACTGTTTTTATAAGCATTCAGTAACAAAAACCACCTCTACAAACACACACCCCAGAAACCCACCCATCAACGCTAGTGTGAGCCAAATTCATGAAACCACAGATGTTGTGAGTAATCTGAGACTTGGTATTCCAAGCTTGCTTATTTGCCACTAGTAACCCTTACTGCAGCTTCTCATAACTATACATGAAAGCATAAGTGAAAGTGAAGTCACTTACTTCAAAAGGGCGCATGGTTTTATCTGACTTACATTTGAAATAACGGCATTTTATCGGGTGGAAAGGAAAGTGCTGTGTCCAAGAATTTGCAAGCTGATAAATACAAGATAAGTTCACTTGGGGGTATCTCCCCCATCGAGGGCCCATTTGCATCAGGGATGGAAACCTTTGTTCTGTTTATTTTGTTGCTGTTTCTGTGAATTTGAAAAGAAAGGAACTCTTGTTACAAATTCGTTCACATCTTCTCTAGTCCATTTGCCTGTGAAATGTCCATAAGGTTTTTCCTTTAAATTTTTTTTCAAAATAGCGGGTCCCATCACAAGTACTTCAAGGAAATAGTATTTAGCACTAGATATCATTACATCTTAGTCATGTCCATTAATCTTGACCACTTTTCACAGACATGCAGATGCTTGTATTACTTACCTCAGTGATTCATCTTCCTCTTTCAGATATTCTTCAAGCTGTGTGAATGTCTGAATCTAAAAGACAAACAACTGCATGTTCAAGTTACTATTTGAGAGAAATTAAACTTAACTTAATGTTTAAAATGTACATGTCTATCCATTAGCAAAGGAGCCCTGGTAGCGCAGTGGTTAAGCACTTGGCTGCTAATTGAAAGGCTGGTGGCTCGAATCCACCAGCCGCTCCAAGGGAGAAAGATGTGGTAGTCTGCTTCTGTAAACATTTACAGCCTTGGAAACTCTATGGGGCAGTTCTACTCTGTCCTACAGGGTTGCTATGAGTCAGAATCGACTCAACGGCAGTGGGTGGTGGTGGGTGGATCCATGAACAACTGCCTCTTTTGCCATGAGGCCACAAGAACTGGATGGTGTCTAGTTACTACTACTGAATGTTTTAATCAAAGATTCTATAGAAGAATCTCGCTCAAAAGGGGGAAAAATGCAGAACAGAATTTCAATTCTCATACAATCTAGACTTTCTGAAGCTCCTATAAGTACTGCCCTGAGATAAGCAGTAACCCTGTAACCATAAATCAAAAATATCCCCTGAAGTCTTCTTTATACCAAAAACAATCTAGCTTAACTAGTAACGAATGTCTGTCATGAGCTTCACGCTCTTTTAGAAAACATACTATAATGGATCAAATTGTTAAGAGCAATTCAAAAGGTTAGATATGCAGCTTAGGCAGAAAATGAGTTTATGTCAATAGGGGAGGAACAAATTGGAAAAGGAGATGGGAATGGAAGCACAATTTGAGGAATGCAATCAATGTCACAGTATTGTACATGCAGAAATTGGGAGATTGGTGTATGTTTTCAACAACAATGTTGTTGGGTGCCGTTGAGTCAGTTCCGACTCATAGTAACCCTATGTATAACACAATGAAGCACTGCCTGATGTTATGCCACCCTCACAATCTCAACAATAAAAAAGAAAAAAATGTACATGTCTATAAAAAATTAGCAAATTAATAATATCAAACAGTACAAATTAGTTAGAATAACTGACAATTGAGGGATTAAATATAACTATAAAATGAGATATAATATTCTCTATTTAACCAAGAGCTATGTGCCAACTTGACTGAAAAACGACTTTGCAGATAAAATTTGATACATGTGAAACAGTATATAGTTCCTGGATTAAAAAAAGCCCCAACCTTGCTTTCAAGAACAAAATACTTACCAATTCAGAGATCATTATTGGCCACAGTGAAGTCAAATGTTGAGGAGATATTCTTAGCAGCAAAACTCTGAAAAAAAGAAACATCTGAGCAGCAACTATGGGTGTCTGTCCAACTCTGAGATTGTCTGTCAGGCGTTCTAAGGAAAGAAGATTTTAAAGATGTCACACAAATATGCAGTTCTGGGTTTCTTAATAGAGCAAGAAGAAAAATAAAATTGTAATCGTTTTGACATCTTGACAACACCCCAGTGTGAGAAATGGGTTTTAAGAGAATGTTTTTGTGAACCTAGTCTGCTCTCAGCCTTCTCCTTTGGGAACTACAGCTGTTTCTGGCACTTGCTAAAGGCAGGGAATCACAGCCTCCATCTGGGGCCACAGCTGAGTAGGGTGAAATGAACATCTGACTCAAGGCCAGAAACCCACTGGATGACCAGTGACCACTTAAATTTTCTTCTAAAAATATGAATTATGAGACAGAGAAACCAAAAACAGTCCTTGGTGGGCAATGGACTTATAGGATCTTATAGACTGGCTGACAGACAACAACGTATTTTCAGGGGAGGGGGCTGGAAGCAGAGAGAGTAAATAAAACATTTCCCCTATAAAGTTTAGGTTTGACGGCGAAGACAAAAACCTTAATTCCTTCAGGAGGGAAATAAAAAGGCGTGAGTTAAATTCTCTAGCCCCTAACACTCTTCTCCGCTTCTCCACTGAAATAATTGTTTATAGGATGCAGTTTTTTTCATAACTTAAGATCTCTTAGGAACATTAATTGCTATAGCAAATGGCTGAACTATGGTCATGCTAGCTAAGATCTTCTACAGTACATTTATAAAAACTTCTTTTTATTTGAGCTTAAGTAGCTTAAGTAGATTTTTTAAAAATAAATATTTTATTGAGTTTTTGATAGAAGTTTACATAGCAAATTAGATTCCCATTTAACAATTTCTATAGCCCTGGCGGCGCAGTGGTTAAGAGCTACAGCTGCTAACAAAAGGTCGGCAGTTTGAATCCACAAGCTGCTCCTTGGAAACCCTGTGGGGCAGTTCTTCTCTGTCCTATAGAGTTGCTGTGAGTTGGAATTGACTCGATGGCAACGGGTTTGGTTTGAGGTTTTTTTATACATCTTGTTCTGTTTCCAGCATCAGTGACATTGCTTACACTTGCATAAGTGGATTTTTAATTTCTTGTCTTTAAAAGCAGCCTGACTGAAAGAAGGATCATCTGTAGTTCAGACACTTGACAAACAAGTTGGCATTTTTAAAAAGTGGTTTGCCTTTCTGGTTCTGGACAAGATGGAGTAAGTAGATCCCTCCCTATTCTAATTACAACAACTAAAAAACCTGCAACGAAATGGATAAATCAACTATCAGAAAAGTCCGAAAGTTGGAGAAAAGGAGGCAGGACTGGCTGGGGAACTCAGGACTTAAAGAATGACGTTGTGGTGAGTTCCCTTGGGATTTGTTACTCTGGCCTGAGCGTACGAGACACCTGTAACCTGGAATGTCAAAATCTCAACTTGAATGAGAGAAGACAATCGATAAGACACCAGTGCACAGGCAACAGCAGGGAAGGCTTAGACAGTGCTAAAAGGCAAGAGAAGGAAACCAAAGGCCTACAGAATGGTAAGTAAGACATACATCTGTCCCTATTGGCAGATGACATACATTGTCCCTATTTTGTCTATGGAGAAAATCTCAAGGAACCTACAAAAAAAACTTGTAGAACTAAAAAGCAAGTTTAGCAAGGCTGCAGGACACAAAGTCAACGCACAAAAACCAACCATATTTCTATATGGACTAGCAAGGAAAACTGGAAATCAAAATGAAAAAAGATAATGCCATTTACAATGGCTCAAAAAGAAATGCTTTTCAGTACTATTTCTGCAATTACTTGCGAGTCTTAAACTATTTCAAAATAGAAAGCACTTTAAAAAAGTGGTCTGTATACCTAAAACATATCTCGTACTGGTATTCCAAATAAAAGCTAAATCCATGGTATTATTTTTCAGCCAAGATGATCTATTTTAGAATCTGTAATTTTCTTTAATCTCTACCATTCCTCTCTTAGCTCACTGACAAACCTTCCAAGCTGACCCTGTCCTTGGCGGGCAGAGAGCTAATGAAGGCTGGAGGTCAGATCCCTGCACTGCCATTTGCAGTTTGTGGACCCTTGCTCCTGCTGGTCCCTGAATCTCACGGGGCTCGTTTCTTATTCATGGAGCTAGAACAACACCCCTACTCTGCCTGCTTCGAAGGGGACAGGTGTCCCACCAATGACCACAGTCTACCATTGGGAACCAGAGGGCTTACATTTCAGCCCAGGCTTTGCTGGTTAGGGGCAACAAAATTTTAGGCGGGTGCCAATCTCTCCGAGGAAACCCTGGTGGCGTAGTGGTTAAGAGCTACGGCTGTTAACCAAAAGGTCAGCAGGTTCGAATCCACCAGGCGCTCCTTGGAAAACCTATGGGGGCAGTTCTACTCTGTCCTGTAAGGTCGTGTGAGTCGGAGTCGACTCCATGGCAGCAGGTTTGGTTTTTGGTTTTGAATGTCTCTGAGCATCAGTTTCCTCATGTCAAAAACAGAGCTAATAGGTACTCACAGGGAAGAAAGCTTAACACATGGGAAGGGCTCCAACGGGCCTGGCAGGAACCACACCTACCCCATTTAAAGGAGCAGAGACTTTCCTCCAGAGCTCTCAGATCCCTTCATCAGGAGCTTTTGTGTTGGGTGGTGGCTGTCCTCCTCTCATTTAGGAAGCAGAATATTTCCCTCTCCTTTTTTAAATTACTCCTTTGGGCTTATTACAGCTTCTTTTGTGATTAGTGTAAAAAACATGTAACTCTGAGCTGAGGTATATGAGCTACCCAGACCCCAGCCTGACATCAACCTCATTCAGTGCTATTTGATGGTGCTATTTATAGTAGGGGGAAGGATCCCAGAGGGTGTCCCAGAAAAGAAACATTTCTCCTGCTTCTTTTGATTCAGTCACAGTTGCCGCAGAGCCAACTCTGACTCATGGTGACCCCACGTGTGTCGGAACAGAACTGTGCTCCACAGGGTTTTCAATGGTTGATTTTTCAGAAGTAGATCACCAGGTCTTTCTTCCGAGGTGCCTCTGGGTGGATTCGAACTGCCAATCTTTTGGTTAGCAGCTGAGAGCATTAACCGTTTGTACCACCCAGGGACTCCTTTTTATTAGACCTAACCAATTTACTCTGGGGTGCAACAAAGAAGTTTCTTGATGCATCTACTCCTTTGAGAGAAACCTGGGCATCACTGTCCCATGGGCATCGCAAGGCCAGTCAAGTATCCCCAGACTCTACCGGAGGACACTCTGCATTTTCTCACTGTAGGGCCTTCTGAAGTCCAGGCCTACCGAGAGATGGTCGCGGGACAATGGCAATAGACAGGGAAGTGCTTTGTAAACTGTCAGGTAATAAAAAATGACACAAGTAAATTGTTTATTTTTTTAATGTGGTAATTGTAGAAATACAGCACTTGAGCTACCCAAAGTGGAGGGTATTACTCAGAGAAATCCCTCTTTCCCTCAGAGTCCAAAAAGCGTCTCCTATGAAAGTCAGCATGATTGCCCCTGCTTCTCTTTCCCTCTCAGAGGCATGATTTCTTAGATTTTTTGGATGTTCAGATCTGGCCATGGTTGAATTCTCTACACCAGTGTTTGAGAATGGCTATTGTCTGTTCTTTTTCTGGTTCTAGCTTCTATAGATCTAATACTGACTGTTTAGCCCTCTGGTGGGCAGTGGTGGTTCACTGACAGAATTCTCACCTTCCATGCGGGAGACTAGCGCTTGATTCTCGGCCTATGCACCTCATGCACACCCACCACCCTTCTGTCAGTGGAGGCTTGCATGTTGCTGTGATGCTGAACAGGTTTCAGTGGAGCTTCCAGACTAAGATGGACTAAGAAGAAAGACCTGGCAATCTACTTCTGAAAATCAGCCAGTGAAGACCCTATGGATCACAACAGTCTGAACTGCAACCGATCATGGGGATGGTACAGGACCAGGCAGTGTTTTGTACTATTGTGCATGGGGCTGCCATGAGTTGGGGTTGACTCAATGACAGCTAACAGCAACTGCAGCCCTCTGGGCTTCAACCCCACATTTTAGAGGAGTGTGTGAAGGGAGATGGGGGAAAGGGGATGGGTTTCTCCTGACAAGGAGCAGGTATTTACTCTCAGACAGAGAAGGCACTAAAAGGACCACAAGGGACACTGCCCAACGCACTCTCCTTTATCATTCTCCTCTTTCCTCCACTGAGAAAGTAGACTTAAGGTTTAACTTTAAGACCTGTTAAAGTTATCTTCAGAAGGTCAAGTGGCCAGGTGCATAAGGCACCATCACACTTCCTACAAACTAAAGGAAATACAATTTTCCCCTCCACATTTTGTAGGACGCAACGAAGTTCAGCTTTGACCCTGAATTCAGCCAAGGCCTTTGGAAGGCTGCTGTCACCATTACTGGCATCTCTGGTTACCATCAATTGGATCAGCCTCCTATATAATTCAAGCAAGGAATGCCACTTGGATTTGTCAATATTCACTTTCATATAGCTAAGAATTCGAGATATCATGACTTCTCCCTATTATGTGCTTCACACGTTGAAATTATGTCAGTTGAAGTATACAGGTATTTTATCATTGCAAATGTAAAGTAGTGCCATAATTAATAATTGTGAAAGCTGTTAATTTTCTGAACTGAGACAATTAAGACCTTTCACATAGTTAACCAAGCAGGGAAGTGGGTTGACAATTAGTACGAATATTAACAGCACATTAGCAAGATGACTTTAGGAAGAGCACATGCTTTGTGAGCTGACAAATGTTTATAAACATTGTTTAAGAAGGGCTGAGTAACAGATTTATACCATAATTGTGCCTAGAAACAAACAGAATGTCCTTCAGTTGATGAATGGGTAAACAAGTCTGGAATGGAATACTATTCAGCAATGAAAAGGCATAAGCTACCAATAAATGCAACAGAAAGGGTAACTCTCAAATACGTTATGCTAAGTGAAAGCAGGCTACACGTTGTGCGACTTCCTTGATACGACATTCTGGAAAAGGCAAAACCAGAGGAACAGAAAGCAGATAACTGGTCTCCAGGGCCCGAGTGTAAGATATTGGCTACAAAGGAGCATGAGGGAACTTTTGGGGGTGATAGAAATATTCTATATATTGATCGTGGGGGTGGTTACACAACTATGTATGTTTATCAAAATTTAAAGAACTGTATACTGAAAAAGGGTGACTTTTACTGTCTACAAATTATGCCTTATTAATTAAACCTGACCAAAACAAAGATTTATATCACAATTACAATATCTGTAGAACTGGTGTTCTACTAGCCTTCATAATATTAAGCAAAATATTCTTCAAGAATTATGTTAATTTTATTTAATACCATTTGGGCTAAGAATCTTAAAGGAAAAAAATTTCCTACTTGAGAATTCTTTCGTATCTTGGAGGAAGGTGAACTGAAAACAGAATGACTTTGCTACCTGAACATTTTATGAGGAAGAAAAAAACTTTAGAAACATTGTACAATACCCACAGTAACTCATTTTTGATGCAGACAGAGAACATGGTGAATATGAAGAAAATAAAAAAGTTTTTAAGGAAAAATTAGGCACTTTCCCAAATCTTACTCCTTCACCAGCCCCAACTGAAAGTGCTGATCTCGGTAGTATTGTAAACACAAGGTATTTTGACTGTGGGAGGGACCTGGCAGGAGACAGTGCTGAGAAAGTGCCATTCATGGACTGTACTGTCAGACTTTTAAAAACTACCTACTCTGGACTGAATTGTGTCCCCCAAAAAGGTATTTTGAAGTTGTAAGCCCCAGTACCTATGAGCATGACCTTGCTTTGGAAACAAGGTCTTTGTAGATGTAATCAAGTTAAGGTGAGGTCACCTGGAGCAAGGGGACCATAATCCAACAACTGGTGCCCTTATAAGAGGAGGAGACGAGACAGAGAGACACAAACAAGGAGAATGCCATGTGACGATAGAGGCAGAGATTGAAATGATGCACCTACAAGCCAAGATACACCGAGGATTACCTGCCGGCAACGCCAGAAGCTAAGAGAAAGGCATGGAACAGCTCTTTCCTAGAGCCCTCAGAGAGAGCGCAGCCCTGCTCACCCCTTGATTTTGCACTTCCAGCCTCTGAACTCTGACAGATTCAATTTCTGTTGTTTTAAGCTACCTTGTGTGTGGGACTTTGTGATGACAGCCCTAGGAATCTAATATACCAAACCAAAACCAAACTTGGTGCCACTGAGTCTATCCCAATTCTTAGCGACCCTATAGGACAGAGTACAACTGCCCCATACGGTTTCCAAGGAGCGGCTGGTGGATTCTAACAGCTGACCTTTTGGTTAGCAGCCACAGCTCTTAACCACTGTGCCACCAGGGGTCCCACTGTGGCCCAGTCCTCCTGGAAGGTCTCCTGAAGAAACAAGTTGAACTACGGGAAGACTAGGCAACATTTATAGAGCACCTGCTACGTCCAAGGCACTGGGCTATCCCGGCACTGAGAATGCGGAATGAAGAACTTGCACTTCCTACACAAGGCGAAAGGGGAGAAGAGGCTGAATCTGATTTTGGAAGATGCTGTGCACTAAACCCTACGGTCACAGAGAGGAACATATTGTGGTCCTGCAAAGTTCCTCATGGCTGGGTAGGGAGGTACTACATAATTCAACTCAACACACATGCAATATACACCTGATGTATAACAAGTGCTTTGCTAAATGTGTGTGGGGAGGTGGGAGGAGGCTGTCCGAACTTCAGTAAAAGGCAGAAGGGGATTGTTGTTGTTGTTGGGTGCCCTGGAGTCTATTCCAATTCATACTGACCCTGTAAGACAGAGCAGAATTGCCCCACAGGGTTTCCAAAGAGTGGCTGGTGGATTTGAACTGCTGACCACTTGGTTAGCAGCCAACCTCTTAACCACTGTGCTACCAGGGCTCCAGAATCAGATACACTAGCTAATAAAAATTAACATTATAATAACTGATTTTTAAAATAAAGTCTTACATTTATTGATATATTTCCAAAGTTCTTCTATGATGCTGATAGTTTCTGGCCTCAGCTAAGTACTAATTTTAACACTCAACTATTCAGCCAAAATGCACTGTGGGTCCCTATACTAGTCAGTTCATCTCATCTGTGTGTGTGTGTGTGTGTGTGTGTGTGTGTGTGTGTGTGTGTATATCAGGGGCAGGGAAGGCTGCCCGTCTTACCTTGTATCAGTGGAAGGTAAGGGTGATACTGATCAAATTCCCCACTGAAGATGGCGAACGCCTGGCGCTTCAACAGCATGGCTTTCTGTTCAAAACTTGAGAACAGCTTTAGAGAACTGCTCTGCATGTCTAGAATGAATATAGCGAATGAATGACACTGAGTGAGAAAACTACGAAACGTAAGTCACAGGAAGTTCCTATCAGTGTAATTCCTACCCTCCTTGGTGAAAAATCATGATCATGTTGAAATGGGGTCATGTGATCATTATTCCCATATTTATGTTTTAAAATATTTCTTTCTTTAATGGTACTTAGTGACAATATTAGAAGAGGGTATGAGATATACTCCTAATAAATTACAGGGAACTTACCGTTACTTTCAACACAAAAGTCAGGACCTGAACCTGGCTACCACAATGACCACCCTGACAGGGAACACAACAGAGAGTGCCTGATGGAGCAGGAGAAAAGTGGGGTGCAGAGCTCAAATCCTGGTCAAAAGACCAGACTTAATGGTTTGATTGAGACTGGAGGGACCACGGAAGACATGGCCCTGGACTCTCTGTTAGCCCAAAACTAAAACCATTCCCAAGGCCAATTCTTCGGACAAAGATTAGATTGGACTGTGGGACATAAAACGATACTCGTGAAGTGTGTGCTTCTTAGCTCAAGTAGATACATGAGACTAAATGGGCAGCTCCTGTCCAAAGGTGAAATGAGAAGGCAGAGAGGGTCAGGAGCTGGCTGAATGGACACGGGAAGTCAGTGGTGGAAAGGAGGAACGTGCTGTCACGGTATAGGGACAGCAACTAGGGTCACACAGCAATGTATGTATAAATTTCTGTATGAGAGACTAACTTAAATTGTAAACTTTCACTTAAAGCACAACAATTGAAAAAACAGAGAGAGAGAAAAAAGTCAGGACCTGAAGTGGCTGCTTTCCGTTGTCTCTCTCCATTACAAACTGTAGAGAAGGTGGTCATTCTTGTCAACAGACTATATGGGAGAGGCTCAATCATTTAGTCCTGACATACGTACATCACGTTACAGTTTGAGGCGTAGACAGCACCATAAAAGGTTTAAGTAGGGTTCTGAAATGCATGGTAATGCCTGACTATCGTGGCATTAGTCCTTAAATTGTGACTTATGTGCAAGTAACGTGGAACTTACTCATTAAATCTTTAAACATGGTTCTCTCATGAGCCAGAAGATGGTCGATAATGGACCTCCAACTGAATATTAAACAAAATATAGTTAATGAAATACATGACGGATGGTAGTCTGATTAAGAATGTCAAGAAAATAACATTCCCCTTTAAGATTGTTAAAGACTGAAAAGAGATTTATTAGAAATAAATAGCTTTGGTCTAAGGGAAAGCTAGCAAAAAATTTTCATTTATAGCCACAACACAGGGAATGAAAAACGGCCTTTGCCCATATTACTGTAAAAGAAAACAAAATTGGCAAGGTTCTCTGGCTTTTTCAAGGGTTGCCCTTAAAAACGTCCACGCTTGATGGTGTTCTACATCTGTGCTGACAGAAAGAAGTGGGAGTCGTGAAGACAATGCCAACACTTCCTCTCCACAGGGCTAACTTGCGCATGGGCGCCCCCAGCAGAGAAACAGGATGACAAGGGTGAAACCTACAGGGCCCCGAGCAGCCTTTGGGTGGCGGCAGGGCCGACTCCAGACATACGAAAGGCTGACCCGATCTCCCTGCTCTAGCCTTGGGCCTTCCCTGCCACCTATAAACACCTGCTAACAAGCCGGGGGAGGGTTACCGAGCGGTTTTGTTGATCTACTGGGAAAAGGCTGGCTGGCCGCAAGCTCTCAGGAAGAGCTTGTGGTGTGGCAGCTGGGCAGATGGGGTTAGAAATACTGCCTACGTCACTAGTACGTTCTGTCAAATATTTTGTAGTTACAAGATAAAGTAGTTTTAACCTGAGTATCAGTGGAACCCTGTATTATATTCTTTAGGAATAATAAAAATATCCAACCAGCTGCTGTGGAGTCAGCTCTGACTCATGGTTACCCCACATGCGTCAGAGTAGAACTGTGCTCCAGAGGGTTTTCATGGCTGATTTTTTGGAAGGAGATCGCTAGGCCTCTCTTTTGAGGTGCCTCTGGGTGGACTCGAACTTCCAACCTTTTGGTTAACAGCCAAGCTTGTTAACAGTATGTACCACTCAGGGGCTCCATATGCTCTCTCAATCATGTGGAATTCCTCTTTTGACACATGAGGCACCTTTTCATACGACACCTTTGTATTTTAAAATACTGAATTCCCTTCCCATGAACACAGAGACAACATGTGAGTTGAGACAGTGATGGACTATTATCTGGATTGATGCTGTTTCAGGGATGAGAACAAACTATGTAAAGTCAACCACTGTGCCCACTGGAAGATTCTGAGCACATTTTTATAAGGACGGCATTTCTTACTGAACACAAGAGGTATCCATCTGAAAGAAAGCTGGGTCCAAAAACAATTCCAGGACTTCTTTCTTCCAGGCTCGTTTTGTATAGGAATAACCACTCAGAGCACTCAGCAGCTGAGCTCCAGCACGGAAGCTGGGAGCGTTGTAGGCACTAAATGGAATGGGAAAAGAAAAGGGTCACAGTCAAAGACAGTCCAAGGAAAGCTGCTTGATTCAATTCTTTACATATTTACATTTCTTTGCATACAGGAAGGGTAAAATGGAGAAGACAGTGTTACCTGTGGTTGCGTAAGTAAGGAAAAACATAATAAAGCAAGCGTGAGATTAAGGGCACAGCCTTCTCCTTCTCATCACTTCGATAAACCATGTCCAGGAGAGACGCCAGAACCTAAAAGAATGGACAGTAAGAAGCCGGAAATCTCCCGAAGTGACAATAAGAAATGTAGTCCTCAAATCACAACACAAATTCCACGGCGCAGCTCCAGGCCGAGATGGATTTAGAAGCTCCCCTAGGATGGGCTGCCTACATGCCCTGGGCCCTGAGCATGGAACGCCTTTGTCCTGCTGGCAATCATTTATGTAGGGATGACAACTCAGGTCTGTATTTACCTCTGCCAGGAGAGAGAGGGCTTGCACGCTGTACACCGAAGGGGCAGATGCAGACACCATCGAAGAAGCTGCAGCAGCTTCCGCTGAAACAGAGGCATTTGTGTTTAAGTTGTGATGGGTGGGTCACTATGTACTGTCTGTCAGGGATTGAATTATGTCCCCCAAAAAACACGTGTATCAATTTGGCTGGGCCATGAGTCCCTGTATTGTGTGACTGTCCTCCATTTTGTGATTGTAGTTTTATGTTAAAGAAGATTAGGGTGGGATTGTAACACCCTTACTAAAGTCACATCCCTGATCCAATGTAAAGGGAGTTTCCCTGGGGTGTGGCCTACACCACCTCTTATCTTACAAAAGATAAAAGGAAAGGGAAGCAAGCAGAGAGTGGGGTACCTCATACCACCAAGAAAGCAGTGCCAGGGGCAGAGCGTGTCCTTTAGACCCGGGGTCCCCAGGTGGAGAACCTCCTAGTCCGGGGGAATATTGATGAGAAGGCCCACACAGACAGAAAGGCTTCCCCTGGAGCTGACACCCTGAATTTGGACTTTTAGTCTACTTTCCCGTGAAGAAATAAATGTCTTCGTTAAAGCCATCCACTTGTGGTATTTCTGTTGTAGCAGCACTAGATGACTAAGACACTGCCCCAAACGCATCACATGAACTTGAGTCATGAGCTCCCACCTTTCATACTGACTGTACGTAAATACAACTTACGGTATTCTTTTCTGCTAACACGTACAATTTCAGGAACTAAATCTTGATCGGCACAGATTCAGTCTTCCCTTCATTTCTATTCTTGTCATCATTCTTGGAACTTCAACATCCACTTGGATGATTCATCTAACATCTGGGCCTCTAAGCCCCTTGACATTTTCTCTTCCAACAATCTTTTATTCTGCTCCAGCTCAATCATCTGCTGCCACTGTCCTAACCTTGACCTCACCAATTTCCAGGAGCACTATATCCAAAATTTCCATCTTCTCTTTCCTGCTCGCTCACCCCCTGCCTTAGTCATCTAGTGCTGCTATAAGAGAAATACCACAAGTGGATGGCTTTAACAAAGATATGTTTATTCTCCCACAGTCCAGTAGGCTACAAGTCCAAATTCAGGGCACCAACTCAAGGAGAAGGCTTTCTCTCTGTGTTGGCTCTGAAGGAAGGTCCTTGTGATGCATCAGTCTTCCCTCGGTCTGGGAGCTTCTCAGCGCAGGAACCTCAGGTCCAAAGGGTGCGCTCTGCTCCTCGCACGGCTTTCTTGGTGGTGTGAGGTTCCCCTGTCTCTCTGCTTGCTTCTTTTATATCTCAAAAGAGATTGGCTTAAGACACTATCTAATCCTGTAGACCTCATCAGTACAACTGCTGCTAATCCATCTTATTACATCATAGTGATAGAGTTTACAACACATAAGGAAATCATATCAGATACAAAATGGTACATAATCATACAATACTGGGAATTATGGCCCAGCCAAGTTGACAGATATTTTTGGGGGACACAATTCAATCCATGACACCCCCAGAACCCTGCTCCAGCAATTTCCTGAATACCACCAATCCCCTGAGCCTACCACCTTGACTGCCCATCAGCGGCTCCAGGTTTTCATTTCTCTCCCTCCCTCCTCCCTCCCATGGTCTATCATCTACCTTGCAAACACCCTTAACTCCTCTGCTTCTCTTTCCTGCTGAAGTGCTTACCTAGAAAAATGCTACATGCCATGGTCTGTCTGTGCAGTCCTCACGTAGCTAAATGTTCCTGGAGAAAACAGCACCTCTGTGCAGCTCATTTCACATTCTTCACGATTGTGAACCTCGAAAGGGACCTGCTAGATAATCCCACCACATGTACCTGGGTGGTATACTGGTTTTCCCACTCTAGAAAACAATTCTTTCACCTCTTCACATGTCCCTCAATATCCCTCACTCTCCTCAGCCGATAACTTCACCTCATATTTATTGAGAAAATGCTATCAAATGGGAACGCCCTCGCTTTGCCACTACGAGTTACTAACCCAAAGCATTTACATCTCTATTCTCTACCTCCTCTTTTGCTCTAACAGACATGTCCCTGGCTCCTATCAAATAACAATAACTCCATTTATGATATTAATCCTGGCCCTATGGCCTTCAAGGACTTTGCTTTGTGACTGCTCTCTCTCGTATTAATTTCTTCCTTTTTGCTGCATTGTTCCCATTAGCACACAAAGAGGCTTTGATATACTCCAATTTAAAAACAAATCAAAAGAATTCAAACCATTCTTTGATCCTCAGTCCCACTTGGCTACTGCCCTTTTTACAGTTAAGCTTCAAGGAGTTTCTACTTTCACTGTCTCCACTTGCTCACCTTCTATACTCTTCTTTGACCCCTGCAATCAGGCTTTCCCTCCTCATAATCCACACCACCCATCCCCAATGACTTCCACATTGCCCAGTCCAGTGCGTCTGTCTTTACTTCTTGGCGGCAGCCCTACACTTGGTTATCTCCTCCTCTCCTTCTTTAAATACTTTTTTTCTGGTAGTTTCCACGACTCTATACTCTGTTTTTTTTTTTTTTTCTCTCCTATGACTGCTTAATGTCTTCGCTGGCTCCTTCTCCCTTCTAGACATCTCACATTTAATATGTGCAGAACGGAACTCAATTCCCTTCTCCAAAATCTTCTTCCTTCAGTCTTCTCCATCTCAATAGATTACTTAAGTCAAAAATCTAAAATCATCTTTGATTGTGCTCTCTTTTTTATTAATCATACATCCAATCTATCAGCAAGTCCTATTGATTCCGCATTTAAATCAGTCCACCTCTCTCTATGGCCCCTGCCTCCAAGCCAGTATTATCTTTTGCCCCAACATTGCTGCCTGGGGCTGGGTTCCCTAGAGAAGCAAAACCAGTGAAGCATCTACATGTATGTGTGTATATACATATACACACATATATACACACATATACACACACACACATATATATATATATACACACACACACATATAAAGAAAGAGAGAGATTTATATCAAGGAAATGGCTCATGTGGTTGTAACTTGTATTTGGAACTAACTTCTACACACATTTTGTATTCCCTTTGCCCTCAGCAAGCACCTCAGCTGGTCCTGGTTCTTTGCTTAAGGGGTGACCCAAACTTTCATTCCTGAAGAGTTTGGGTCATTAGCAGTCATGTCAGAATTGGGTTGCTGTAGTTTTCCATTGACTTTAATCACTGGGCATGGTAGTACTGAGATGCCCTAAAGGATCTCCTGTACTCCAGACACACTCTTCTTTGCCTCCATTATGTAATATCAATCTGATTTGCTCTTGGTAATCAGGATTAACCACACCACCCTTCTTTGCCTGTTAATCCAGAGGCATAAGGGCCCAAAGTGGCCAGGTGGCATTCTTAACTTTCAGTTCAATGGAATCAGTGATGTGTCTCCAGGTGAGAGCATTCCTTCCTCTGGAACTAAGAACTCTAGACCTGCAGAGCATAGGGTTGTGGGGACAGGAAGCACAAATTTTGTGAGTGGTGCCACTCCCACTTCCACCCCTTGATTCCTGCACCTATGAATCCTGGCTATGGCAGAAACAGCACCATATACTGGACACTGGTTTAGAGCATATACAGCCTCCTGGAGAACACTGCCCCAATCCTGAAAAGTACTGCCACCTAGCTGGTACTGTAACTGTGTCTTTAGAAGGTCATTCTATTGTTCTATCAAGCCAGCTGCTTCAGGATGAAGGGGAACATGGTAAGACAAGTGAATTCCATAAACATGGGCCCATTGCCACACTTCATTTGCTGTGAAGTGAGTCCTTTGATCCAAGGCAATGCTGTTTTGGGATATTGTGATGGTGGATAAGGCATTCTGTAATTAAGTCCATGGATGGCAGTTTTGGCAGAAGCATTGGGGGCAGGGAAGGCAAATCCATATCCTGAGTAAACGTCTATTCTAGTAAGAAAAAAACACTGCCCTTTCCATGAAGGAAGTGGTCCAATGTAACCAACCTGCCACTAGGTTGCTGGCTGATCACCTTGAGAAATGGTGCCATATCAGGGACTCAGTGTTGGTCTCTGCTGCTGGCAGATTGGACACTCAGTAGTGGCTGTAGCCAAGTTGACCTTGGTGAGTAGAAGTCCATATTGCTGAGCCCATGCATAACCTCCATATCTGCTACAATGGCCACTTTGCTCATGAGCCCATTGGGCAATGACAGGAATGGCTGGGGAAAGAGGATGACTGGTTTCCACAGAACGTGTCATCCTATTCACTTTTTTTGTTAAAATCTTCCTCTGCTGAGTCACCTTTTGGTGAGCATTCACATGACACAAACATCTTCACTTTTTTTGCCCATTCAGAGAGGTCTATCCACAAATCTCTTCCCTATAACCTCCTTGTCTCCAATTTTCCCATCATGTTCAAGTCCTTGACCATCCAGTCAAAAAATTGGCCACAGCCCTTCAGTCAGTATACAATTGCACATCTGGCCACTTCTCCTTCTAAACGAAGTAAACAACCAGTTGCACTGCTTGAAGTTCTGCCCATTCGGACGATTTCCCTTCACCACTGTCCTTCAGAGAGGTCCCAGAAAGGGGCTGTAGTGCTGTGGCTGCCCATTTTCGAGTGGTGCCTGCATATCGCACAGAACCATCTGTAAACCAGGCATGAATTTTCTCTTCCTCAGTCAACTGATTGTAAGGAGCTCCATAAGGCCATAGATGCAGATTGGGAGATGGAAAGTAATGTGTCAGGAGTGAAGACCATGGGCACTTGGGCCACTTCCTCATACAACTTACTTGTGCCTTCAGGTCCTGCTCAGGCCCGATCGCATATATACCACTGCCATGTAATGACGGAGTGCTGCTGTGCACGCCCAACCTTATGGCTCTGTGGGTCAGACAACACTCAGTTCATGATGGGCAGCTTGAGCCGCATGGTGACTTGGCAGCCCATGATTAAGTAGTCTCTATTAAGGCCTAGTAAAAAGCCAAAAGCTGTTTCTCAAAAGGAGAGTATCTATCTACAGAGGATGGCAGCGCTTTGCTACAAATTCCTAAGGGTCTGTGCTGTGATTCACCAATAGGGGCCTGCCAAAGACTCC